AAAAAAAAAAAAAAAAAAAAAGAAAAAAAAAAAAAAAAAAAAAAAAGAAGCCTAAAGCCAGCAAATGGGAATTTTTTGGCACAGAAGCAAGTGGCAGCATTTGGATACATTCCACTAGCAAGTCCTCCGAAGGTTTACCCCTCCTTGACTGCTCTAAGCATGGCCAGCGGCTCTCGTGTTCCTCTTAGCACAGCTGCCTTCTCTTGGTGGAACAGGAGTCATGACTTCAACAGCCACCAAGATGGATGAGACAGGAGAAGAGCTGTTGCTACTGTAGGCCCCGTGAGCCAATAAAGAGTTAATTTAATGAGGAGTCATGAAATGTACCTGAGTAAATAAGAACATCTGGAATCTATTCAGGAACTCCCAGCGCTGGGACAGACAGGCTCAGTGCAGACAAGACAGAACAGCAAATAAGATAAGCATTTAGGAATGTAGTAAGTCAGAAAATGATAAATTAGTAAATCGAGAGGTGCTTGACACAGGAGCTGTTCAACTGCCAAAGATGTGGGCCTGTTGCATAGTTAGTATTATACTACCCTCTGTAGAAGTGTGTAATTGGGAAACGTGGGACTCATTTGGAAAAACTTTTGCTAACAGGTAACTAGAAAGGATTTCTCTTCCCATTTCTGTTGAACTCTGCAGGATTCCTGCTGACAGCCAGCCTGATCACCTGGCCAGCAGCTGCAATAAGCTGCTGCCTTGGCTTGGTTTAGACAGTGTGCGTTTGCTTACTTGTTCCATCAGTACTGCCGTAGGAGCCCAGTTAGCACTTTGGCAGCAGCCAACGTATGAAAGTCCCCAAGCAGTCTGCAGCGACACACACTCCACCAGCTCCCAGAGCCGCTCACCGCCATCGTGCCCTGCTGTGTATGTACCACATGGCGTAAACAGCACGTGCGTTATTTACCAGAGCAAGAAGGAGACTTGCAGCTGAACTCTCAGCAGACATCAACTACCTTTAGGTTTTCTTCCTTCCTAAAGTAAGGTGAAACTGCCTAAAACACACCACAAAAGCTGGCAGGGCGATCATACCTCGTTAACAAGGACTGCAGGTGAGGAGACCCAGCTCTGCACGATTCAGCAAGTGAGTGTGTGTGCAATGGCTAATTCCCTTCACACCAGGCAGAGCACCGATGCGTACGTTCATTGCCACTGTGCCTGAAAGACAGGTACAAAGCACGCAGCTCGGAGAAGTCTGGTCTGAGTCTCGAAGCGTGAGAGGAGCTAAAGGCTTTTGTTTCATCGGGGATGCGGCTGGGTCGCCAGGAAAGCACACTTGGCAGCGGGCACGGCTGAGAACCGCGGGCTCCGGCTTCCCAGCTCTGCCTCGAGTGACTGTCAGACACTCTTCCTTGGATGATGCCAGGTGTTCACCATACAAGCGCCAATGGAAACCCACAACCTGGTAAGAAAAACAACTTTGTTGCTTAATTAAATCCGTCATTTAAAATTACCGGTCTCCATCTATAAACATTCTGGTTCACCAACAGAAACAAGACCACTTAGAAGCGGTAAGGGGGTAGCACTCTCTTGCTTTCAAAATCTAGCAATTCTTCACACAGGCTTACCTAGAACAGCAGACTCCTGAACAGACACCAGCTCCTGCCCAAGGATCTAATGCAGGTATCGCAGGTCCTCCCCTCACGGTGGGGGACTTCGAAGAAAGGCATAAGCATCTTGTTTTATGTGACAGCGACACCAATCCCCCAAGCCAGTTTTCCGCTGTAACTACAGAGTCAGAAGAAACATCAACTCAAGGTCCTTCTTCTTGATAACAAAGGATCTGTAAAGCAGCGCTGCTTTCAAAAGAAAACCCTCCTGACTGAACTTCCGAAGAACATCCCAGGAGCAAACTGACATCCTTTTAATCACTCCTCTAAATAAAGACACCATGGACCTGAAGACCCACCCAAGAAGAAGCCATGGCATGAAGGTCACTTTCTCCTTCTGGAAAGATTTAGCGTTGTCCAGCAATGAGGAGCAAAGACTAAATTAAATATAATTGAATATAACCAAAGGCAACAAGAAAAAAAAAATTAGGCCAAAATTTAGAGTGATCCTCTTCTAGCTGCAGGTGTGTCCCCTGAGATTTCTTGCTCCCTATGTCTTGTCACTGCTTGCATTTATCTGCCAGCTGAGCCACCTGAGTTTTGTGCCAAAACAAGCCATTCAGCTAGCTGCTTTGTGCTGTTATCATTATTTTACCCAAAGAAGCAGCTGAAGGTACAGCTACAACTAGAAACAGATGTTCCTACACCAGGATCACTGAAAAACTACTTGACCAAAGGCACTGGGATAGCAGAACCTCCTGAGGTAGGCAGGCCACTGACCACGCAAGAAACGTGGACAAGGAAACATCCCATGGCAAAAGCAGCATTACAGAGGGGAGGCAAAGTTCCCAGGAAACGGTGCAAAATGCTATCAGAAAACACGGGAACTAAATCTTAGCAAGGAGGACATGTCAAAAGGAAGAAGAGGAAACAATGAACTGCATACAAAGGAAAAAAAGTCCGAGGAAGTCCTACAGTTACCCGCCCGAGGAAGAGAAAACCGTTAAAATTCAGCACTCGGAGAAAAACACTCGGATACAGTGAAAGACATCAGCCCCAGATAGGACAGCACAGTCGTAAAATGGGGCTGTATCTTATCATACAGAAATTGAAAAGAAGCAAGTTTTCACTTTTCAGAAGCACTGCCTTAGCACCAGTGTGTGAAAGACCAGGAAGACAGGCAAGACTCCCCCGGGGGGGGAACAATCAGAGAAAAAAGAAAAATTTCAAAGTGAAACACGTCTCCGGGCAAAGGAGAAAAAGGCACTTCTTCGCAGGCATAAATGTCAGTTTTGGAAAAGCCCAATCTCAGCCTATGAGTCTGTTAGAACAAAGAAATGGAATGATAAAGGAAGGAGATTTTACTAGAAAGCCAAATAAACTCGCTAACAACCGTCACAAACTATAGGAGTGTCAGAAACGAGTGTTTACGTTCCTGCAGGGGCATGTCAAACACCGAAGAGCTGCACCAGTGACAAGGAAGGTGATTTTCTTCACAAAATCAAGGTGTCTTTTTCTACCACCACCCCCTTTTTCCTGTTCTGGTATGTTTTATCCCTTCCCCGTTAATTAGCCTGGCTGTCATTTTTGCTTTATAGCTTATTTTATAGTGAAATGTTCCACCAGCTCACAGAAGGAGACAGTTTAATACAGCAGATTGCACGTACGTTGCTTCCAGTTCGTTCCACGGGCTCTTTTGTCAACTTCGGAAGAAGATACGCCTATCTTGGTTACTGGAGCACTGAAGCGGTATCACTCAGGCACACTTCAGATAGCCTGGCGGCAGGGCAGAGCTGATCCTGCTCACCAGGAGATAAGGACTGCTCATTACTTACAAAAACAAAAAACAAGAAGAGAATCAGAGGAAGAAGGAGCCGGCAGCGGCGTCCCAGAGGGGCTCACAGACACACAGGAGCACAAGGTGCAGCTCCCCGCAGACAGCTGGCAGAGCTTCTCAGCAGGAGCCTTCGAGGTGGAGAGCGGCTTCTCTGCAGCACTGCCACCCTCCGGCTCAGGGGGAAAATTGGCTTTTCCCGGCAGAGAAGCACCTCCGAGCCCGGAGCCCCTCTGAATTTAGCACCTTTCTGTCCCCCTGGCAAGGAGAGAGCTGGGAGGGAACCTGGGCGTGAAACTTCCCACCAGCGAGCAGAATCTGCGCGACAAAACCCTCGAGGTCAGCAGCTAGATGAGTTGCTGTCTCGCTGCCAACCCTCATTTAATTTGGGGGCACCAACGTGTCCAGCTCATCCAGCCAAAGACTGCGGACGCCAGCTAGTCGCCACCTCAGTCCTCTGATGCCACCAGCTAACCAAGGCAGAAGCAAATAATTCGTACCCTTTCTGTTAGATAAACTTTCTTTCTGGGTCTAGGGGCGCATCCTGGCCAGCACTCTGGAAGACGTTGTCCCAGGTCCCCAAAATGGCACGTGTGGAGAAGATCAGGATGCAAGAACTCCTCCGATGAACAATTAAAAACGAGTGACTTCCCACAAGGCAGTTGTGACTGTACTTAGCTCTGAGGGAAATTCCCTTTCTGAATTCTCTCTGTACTGGTTCACACAGATGACTAAGTGGTCATAATACACAACATAAGTGACGCGGGCAGGCAAACCCCAAGTTCACCTGTCAGAAAAGATCTTTAAAAATGCAGCTGAGATTTTTAGTCTCATCAGCTGAAGTCAGCTCAGCACTGGGAAGGCTGCTCACAGTGCAACCCAAAGCAGTAAGAGTAGACATCCGCATGTGCATCATCCAAAATACGAGAACAGATGGTAGCCATTATTAGAAAGGGTCAAACACTGTTTTCCTATTTTGCGGGCTTTTAATGGTAATTTTCACAATAATTTACAAATTCGCTGTTACACACATTTTTCATTACTAAATGGATATATAACGTAAGTTAATCCAGCTCTCGGTTGAGAACCTGTTGTAAAAATGCCCTTGCTAAGGTCTGGTATCTACTCCCGCAGTTTTGTATTAACACGGGCAGCCAAGCGAGTTTCTCATGCTGAACCTGTCCAACCTGCTGGCCCTCCCCCAGCCTGCACGTCCCTACAGCTTGTTCTCTGCTCGCACCAAGGTGAGGACCTGGACGCTTCCGAGCGCCGAGGGGGGTGGACTTACAGCGCAGCAGCCGCAGGGCTCCGGTGTGACTAAGGCGGGAAACGGACGGTACGCTCCGACCCTTCGCACGGCAGCGATCCAGCCTCTCTCAACGGGATACCGCTGGGTGCAGCGCAGCTCCCAGTTAGCTGGAGTCTGGAGCCCCACAGCTCAGCACAGCTCTGAGTTCTGCTCCGACGCCCAGGGCTAGGATAGCAAGCATGCTGCGGGTCGGTGCAAAGTGCCGTGGCACAACGCTAGATGGCAACTCGTATGCGTGACGCTACACCAGCGCTACCAGTCCCTCGTGTCTAAGCGTAACAAATTCACCCGCAGGATTCTGTTCAAAGGAAAGATATGGACACCTGAGCCCAAAACACAAACAGTGGAACAGACCAAAGCTGGAGAATTCCAGGTGTTCAACTATGTCAGTCCTCAGCAGAGGAGAGGAAAAAAAAAATCAAAGGGTACTACAGCCTTGAGTTTTTCCACCTGAGCTGTTTCCATCTCAATAATTCACCTCTTAAAATAAAACTTGCTTTCCAGTAAGATAGACTCTGTTTGCCTTTTACTTTCAGTCACTTCAAGCTGATTCAGCTTTGTGCCTTCTTGGAAAGAAAAAGTCAGCAGCAGGGTTTCTCAGAGAAATGCAATACGGCAAATTAAAACTGCAGTCAGTCTGGACTGCTCGAGAAAGTGCAGGCAGAGCAGGGGGGTACTGCAATGAACGCCCCTAAGAGTTCTGCTGAGGGAAGGAAAGTCAGGACTTTCTCCCCGGAAAAGCCCAAGAAGAGTGTTAAACCTTGCACCTGCACACACACGGAGTTTTTCCCACACTGAGCAACAGCTGTTTCACAAAGACTTCCCCCACAATGCTTTTAGAGTAGTGTAACATTATCCTGACAATCAGATCACCCGTTCTCGTATAGTTTATATTTAATGTGCGAAAATAAAGGGCATACTTTGCAGCAGTCCCTGGAGGAGAGGGAAGAGCAAAAAGATTGTGATGAGCAGTCAATTGGCAATGGACAGAAACTGCTCCCTGGGAGCTCCCTTCCCCCTTACCTTCCTCCCCTCTAAAGAGCGCAGTAACGCAATCCACAAAGGTAACTGAACTCTCGTGGGAGAACTTGTGGCACAATAGGCTGCAGCTCCTTTCAAAACGGATTCGTTTTGTTTATTTATTTTAAAGTCCACTGATCA